GCCAGCCAAAGAGGCTCCAGCAGCCTGGGAGCCTTTGTCCATGGAGGCCACCAGCTTCTCCCCTGCGGCAGCACCACCCGAGCCAGTGGTAAACAGCTCAGGACTTTGGTCTGCCCAGGCCGCAGGAGGCGACGGGGGAGGGCCAGCTCGAGCCGCAGGCTCGGGTGATGCCCGGGAACCCAAGGCGGGGGGGAGTTGGAGCCAGCTCGGCACTGCCCGCCTCCAGCGCCGGGAGGGCCGAGGCGCCGGTAGAGGCACAGCCTGCGAAGCCGCAGCACTGTCCTGCTCTGCTGCCAGGGAACAACCCAGGCTCGCACGAGGGGAATCCCACAGCGTGGGGTCGGCAGAACCCGGCCCGGCGTCCGCACCACTCACAGCACCCATCCCCACGCCCCATGAATCCGGTGCAGGGGGGACAGTGCTCAGAATCGCCCCTAACACCGTTTCTTCGGGGCAAAAGGTCCAAGAAGCGGCGCCGTCCACTCCTCCACTGGAACAGCGTGCGCGGCTGCCGGCGCGGGGCCTGGGCCCGGCCCGTCCCCCACCGTGGGGCAGGGCATGGCCCAGCCACAGCAGGGACACGGGACTGTTCCTGAGGTATCCCCAGAGGCGGCGGCGCCCCCCATTCAAGCACCCCACCATCGGTCTGCGCCGGGAGGGCACACGAAGGAGGCGACCCCACTCCGGGCTTCCACCGCCGGGGCGCTGGCCGAGGCGGGTTCACGCCCACCGGTCCTGTGGCGCCCCCGTTTAACCCACTGGGGGCCCTGGCGATCCCGGGGGAGCCGACCTTGGGACCCGACCTCCGAACACCGCCGCACCTTTGCCAGATCCCCAGCAGTTGGAGCACCTGGGGCTCATAACCGACCAGCAGAGCCTTGAGCAGGGAATCACCTAAAGCGTCCCAAGCCGACTGCGAAAAAATCGCTTCAACCCCGTTCAAGGGAAAGAAACCCTCAATTCTCCCATACTCACACAATCGCTGAGAGTCAGCATACGAAACATCAGTCCCTCTCTGATCAAACACCGCACGCCATATTTCCATAACCAGGCCTTCCGTAGGAGAGAGCCCAAAACCAGCCATAGCCACAGGCTAGACAGTACCCTGTAACACACGTGCAAGACATGTCGGGGTCCACCAGATGTTACCGCTGAAGATGAATAGATCACATAGACACAGCTTGAGGTGTGGTGAAAGAAAGAGCGGAATTTATTTTTCCACCCAGAATTTATAGGCTTCTGACCACAGCCAGGGACTGGATGGTCAGGATAACACTTTCTCACTGCACTGGCCATGAGAGATGCCCATCACAAGACGTGTAACAGAAAGAATGTACACATATCTATGTTTACAGTTACTGTCCTGGGAAAGTCTTTAGAAAACCATGTCAGCAAGCTCAGAAGCTGAGTTTTCAGGGCGACAAATTGGTGTATTCTTTATTGCAGTAACTCTGTGACTGTTTTGTCCTTGAACTCTGACTGTCAGGATTTCTCACTGACAAATTAATATTTACAAAAATATAAACGCAAAGAAGAAAAAAAAAAAGGTTGATAATGATCTGAGGGACAGCAGTCTGCCTTCTGTGAGAGGCAGGCCACAGAGATATGCTAGTTTCCTGAGTGGGTTTCAGTAAATAGTGATTCACATTCCCTTCTCTGACCTCTGTATGTACACTGCAGTAGTACCTTGAGCCTTACTTAGGACAGTGATTTACCTTATTGTGTTAGATGCAATCCATATTCTTGGTACTGTGCAGTCAATTTTTTATGACGTTTGCGCCTTTTGGTTTTGGGGTTTGTGGGGTTTTTATAACCTGTGTATAACTTCTGCTATAAGGTGGGCTCTTGATTTATTTTTTTAGAGCAGGTGGGATTAGCAATTGGGAATAGGTTCAGTATTGAAGAAATTGTTGAGCTAGAAGTAACAATGAATTTGCTTGTGGCAACTTTTATGCATGGAAGCATAGAGAATGGTAGTTTACAAAGACCTTCTACAGCTTTGAGATTTGAAAGCTTGAAGAAAATCAGCAGATTTATGCCCTTCTTAGAAAGAATGTTCATCATGCCTATGCATATGTTGCATTTAACTGCTGTCTACGTGGATAAAGTATGATATATAGAATATGTTCAGTATGACTGCAATTTTAGAATGTTGCATCCTTGTAATATGCCCTATATTCATACTTTTGCAGGACTGGGGTGTGATCTTCATTCTAGTACCAGTATCTGGCAAAATGTGATGGACAGTCATAGGTTCTGATTAATTTTCTATCTCTGCTAATGCATCCACTTGAAAATCATAGCTTGGTACTTGATGGATACCCCAGAAAGCATCAGGCTATAGCTGTAATGGGAGGTTGTTGACGAGATTACAGAGCATAGGGGTGCTATCTCAGTAGCTGTTTGCTACAAACATTGTCTTAACAATGTAACTGGTGCAGAAAAACTGTTAATGCTATTGTATATAGGTGAGAGTGTTCACTTGGCAATAAGGATTATACAGTATATGGCTTTACTTAACTTCTTTTTTCCTTTTAAAGTAGCAGTCTTATATTAAATCCAAACTGAGCTTAAACATGTATTTATTTTATTATTTTTTTTTTTTATTTCTGCTAATAAAGATAGACAAGCTATGCCTCTGTATGCTGGTTGCAAAATTTTTAAAACTGGTTTCATTCTGTCATGCATTCTATTGTTCTGAACTATTTTTTTTAATCAGGAATTGTGTCTTTTGCTGTAGCATGAAAAAGAAAAATGCCTTTGTGGGTGCAGGAGTTGGTGTAAGTTTATTAGTGCAAATACTGGATTGGGTCTGATATGTCAGCTTGCCTTTAACTGCAGTCACCATTTAGCTCTTGGTTGAGATTGTGTTAGTTGTCAGTAATTGTGTTCGCAGGCTCGGCTGGAGGCTGTGATGAAGAGTGCTTGGAACTGGGGCATTGCACAGATAAAATCATGATGAAACAGCTGCAGCTTAATCACAATGAAATCCACATGGGCTTTCAGGGCTGCATATTCTAGAAATTTTTATTATGCTTAATTCCCATGTTTAACCTTGTAAAGGAAAAGAAAAATCTCACAATTAGACAGAAATAGATGTAGGATTATAGTTGTATTGTAAAATAAATCTCATAACCTTCCTGTTTCAAGGAGGGAACATTTTGTTTGTCTTCGCTCAAGGTGAAATTACTGGCAATTTTCTTAATTTTTCTGAGACCTGTGTGTCTGATGTTGCACCCCTTTCAGCTGGGTAGCCCAGGGCAGTGTGTCTGTGCTATCAGGTGGTGCTCAGGCCTAGTGCATCCAGCACTGCCTCTCCCAGAGGTGGGTGAGGCCCTCTGTGTCTGGAAAACAGAGGGACTTTTCCATTTACTCTGGAATTGTAATCTCCCTCTTTCTGCTCAGAAAAGCGCAAAGGGCTGGGATTTTGAGGTAAAAGCTGAGTCTGTGGCATGTGGTATTTTTGAACAGCCTCAGAAATTGCTGAACTGATCGTTCTCTGTCAAAGGTAATGTTTCTTTCTGATCAAGGGGCAGCAATGTACTGATATATTAGCAAAATTAAAGATATTTAATATATTTTTTTTTAAATTTGCTATTAAGTTGCCCAAACCTTTAATCGCTTTAAGTTGATGGCAGGCAAATCTGATTACTTAGGGAACCTGCTTATATTAAAAAATAAAAGCTGAGTAGCAGAAAAGAACAACAAAAATGGATGCTACTGTGAGGAAATCTAATTTAGACACTGAAGATAAATTATCAACCTTGGAGGCAGTTACTACAGTTGCAGGCAATTGAGGTAATAAGGAAGATGCTTTAAGGATGGCCTTGCATTTGTAATTATTGAGAAAATAAGAAAGATGGTTTAAGGATGGCCTTGAATTTCTAATTACTGAGGAAATGGAATGTGGTAATTCTGTGACAAAAATCCAAATAAAATATGTGTAGCAGTTCCTTCCTGTAGATACAGCTATCTTCTTGAGTTTGCTTCATATGGGTAGAAAACATCTCTGTGGAAATACCTTCCTTATGTTGGGATAAACTTTTAAAAGAAAAAAACCTTGAGATGATTTTAAACAATGCTGTGAGTGATGATGGTTGTAGCTTCCTATGGAGGAGTCAATTTTGTTTTGCTCTCTTGGTTTCTGATGCCTCACTTGTGTGTGTGCCCAGGCGAACCGGGACGCAGTGATCAGCCGAGCTCCAGAGCAGCAGGATGACCGAGCCATCAGTCTTCGGGATGCTTCTGCAGTCTACGATCTCCTCAGCATCACGCTGGGCAGAAGAGGGCAGTATGTGATGCTGTCTGAGGTACCTTCCTCAGCCTCTGCCCCTCCAAACACTCTGTTAAAGCCCCTCTTTGTGGTGGCTTGTTGGGAAGGGTAAAAAAGGTGTGTGCTAGTTAGCAGAAACAGCTACAGAGCTATGGCTGCACAGGCCAGAAGTGCACACAGACCTGTTTGAGACATTAATGTAATTAATATGTGGGCACTTGAACTAAGTGTCTGCCTTTTGAAGTGATGGTGTGCACTAGCAAGTCCCATTAGCTGAGAAGTATAAATGGTGTCGTTAAAAAAAAAAAAAAATCTCCTGAGCCCCTGGGGCCTCAACAGACTATTTCCTGACCCAAGCAGCAATCTTGACAAAAGGTGTAAGGAGGAAAATAAATAAAGTCTGATAGTCCTTTCGTCATTTCTTTCTCAGTGCTTGGAGAGAGCCATGAAGTTTGCATTTGATGAATTTCACCTCTGGTACCAGCTTGCCCTGTCCATGGTAGCTTGTGGAAAGGTAAGGTTCAAACCAAAGGGCTCCAAAAGGGCACATTTTCCTCTGAAAGAGTGGATCTGGATTACTTGTTTGAATGTGTAGTCATGTGTGTTGTGAGAGTGGGTGCCGCCAGGCAGCTCTGTGAAAGGACAGTGCTCTCATTTTAGTCTCTGATTGCATTTTGTGGTGAGGGGTCTACGTTTGGTATTGAGTACTGTTCTTTCTGTGTAGGGTTTTTTTCTCATTAGCAAGGAGAAAAATGGATTTTGTGCATAGCTGTGGGTTGAAAAACATTGTACAGCTGTCCATGTCTGCAGGTTCAGCATAAATGGGCTTAGTATAAGAAAGAACTGATGTCTAAAACTGCCATCAGTTCATTCTGTGTCTCTGACAGAGGGCAGTTGATTTATGCTGTGGCTTCTCCATCTGTTAAAGGAAATGTAAATGTTTTTTCATAGAGAACTTGTAAGGTTTAATATTTTTAAAGTGCTTGGTGCAAAATATGCTCTAGAAGAAGAAACAATGTGAATGTTAGCATGGTCATGTGTTTCAGCATAAGTGTTTTTTTTCTAAAATTAGGATGGTATTTGTGAAAGTGATCAGTAAACCACTGAGATGGCTGAAATGTGGTTGTGAAAAGTAGGCAAAGGTAACAGGAGCTTTTCTTTAGTCTTAAAAGAGTGGACTTCCTGTAGAAAATGTAGATGGTACAAGATTTAGCCAGTTGATTCTGGAGTCCCCACCTACACGTTTGGAAAGTGTGAGCAAATAGATGCTGTACGGTAGTAGACCGCTTAATATGGTCCTATATTCTGTGCCCATGGAGTGTACAGGAGTCAATGTGGACCTGAGTGAAGACCACCAACTAACACTCATTTGCCAAATTTCAGCTACTCCAGCCTTTCACTGCTATAAGTGGAAACAGTGGCCTTGGCATGGAAATAACAGATGAATCTATAGTTTTGCAGAGAAATTATATTGTGAGGTATAAGTGGCTCCAAAGCTTGGAAGATGTCTGAAGGAATTCCTTTGCTTCTGTGAGCATATTCAAAGCCTTACCTTGGAAGACTGTCTGTTGTTAAGCATTCTGCTTCAAAAAATGGTAGAACAATGAAAGTCTTAATAAAGAGCATAAGATATGACTAAGAGTATAGTAAGCAGTATTATGGAAAGACTGAAATAACTTTTTTCACTTTAAACAGGAGGGAAATAAAGTCTGAGAGAAACAAGTCTTCAAGAGCTCTTAAAAGGACAGGTTAATCTTGTTTGTGGTGGTTATGACAAGACATGTTAGCATCTAATTGCACCAACACAAGTTCATGTTTCTTATTAAGAGGCAAAAAAATAAGGATAGCGGAACACTGGAAAAAGAGAGCCCTGTGGAGATTGTGTGGAGCCTAAATCATTTGGAATCTGTGGAAAACCCTAGGCAAATCAGTAGAGACCTTTCTGTGAGGCACTTGAGCTGCCTTCTGTGGGACCTTGCAAATTCTGTTCTGGGACTCCATCATTGTCTCCTTTTTAAATATAACAGATCTGGCTGATTTATGAGATGCCAAAGCTTTGGCAATGCTTATTAGATTGGCAGGGAGCTGAACAGAGATCTTTCGTCAGAAGGAGCCTCATAGATTCCTACAGAAGTTCAGTGCAAGCATTTCAAAATCCAAATCCAAGCTTGAAAATAATGGCTAGACTCAGTCATGTAAAAGGAAACCTGAAGCTACTCCTGGAATACTTAAACAATGAGCTTGGTGCCATGGTACTAATACCTTGCACTGACCTTTGTCAAGTGGGGGCATACATGTCATGTCCATCTCACCTTGGAATTCAGCTGGAGTTAGCATAGCCCTGCCCTCTGTATCTTTGCAAATCCTTTAGGTCCTGATCCCTTGATACTGAAGACAGCAATGATACACAGACCATGATAGAAAGGCACAGAATCTTACCATGAACATGGGGTTTGTCTGAGAACCTTATTAGCTTTACAAGTTGTATAATCTGGTTTTCAACAGCAGACAATGCTGTGGCTCTAGTAATCTGCTGGAGAGCAAATCAAGATTTTTAACTGCTGATGTTTGAGAATGAGTGTATGCAGAGAATAACTGTGCTTCAGTCTTAGGTTATCATGGAGAAGTGGGGCCTGATCTTTAGCTTCTAACAACTTGCATGGCAACTCCATTCTTCTCCATTCTATGTTTGCATACTTCTTCACCTTCCCTACATTTACAGAATATTTGGTACTTGGATATTTGTGTTGCACATTTTTATTTTTTTTGTCTCTGTAGCTGTCCTGTCTTTTCAGATTTTCAATTTGTCTTGGTTTGGAAGACAGGTGTCTGCTAGGGAGGGCAGGAGCCTCCCCTGGAATGAAAATGTAGACCCCCTCCCTCCGAATTACTATAATTCTGAAATCAAGGGGCTCTCAGGCACAGATCTGGGGATAGGAACAACAGTTCTTTACTAGTATGTACAACAAGGCAAACAAACAACAATAACTACAGCATTAACAAGAAAACAGAACCAGGGACCCTGTGACAGCTTTCTCGGCCGAGATGGGAAGGGATGGAGGAGAGGCTTTGCTTCACAAACCCCCTCGGGCAGCCAGTCCCGGTGCTTCTGCCAAGACTCTGAGGAACACTCAGCTGGAACAGCAGGAGTGAGCTGAGATCCCAGGCCAGTGGCTGAGGTGTATCAGCAGCTCCGCGGCGGTGGCTGGCACTACCACATGGCCCGGCAGGACAGGGGGTGAGAGGCCCCCAAACGAAGAAGGAAGAAGGAGAAGAAGAAGCAGCAGCTCCGTCTGGGTGATGGTGAATTCCCTTCTCTCCACAGCAACAGCTCCCAGGGAGCGTCTCTCTCTCTAGCCCAAGAAACCAGCCAGCCCTCAGCTGTCCCTGCCCTCCTGCCTGGGCCCAGCCAAAACACCCTGTGTTTCTCAAGCATCAATCAGGTTTCCCCGAACTAATGGGCAAAAAAATTCCACAGGTGAGACGGAACAAAAGGAAGGACACCCAACCCCCAAAAAAGTACATCATGTCTTTTTGTCCGTACTTTAAATATTTACAAGGTAAAATGTCCTGATCTTGCCTATTGATGTAAAAGGCGCTAAATGTTCTGAGTCCTTTGTGGGTCAGAGGGAATTCCCTTACCCAACAATCCCATCTGTGCAGTGTTTCACTTCTAATCCCAAAGTATTCCCTGAAGATTCCCATCATACACTCTGCAAAGCGTCATCTTGCTAATGGGACATATGGCATACATTTTTATATTGCTTTGCAGCTTGATAGCAGGACAGATTTGATTTAAAAGCAAGTGCTCCAGAGTAGCAGAAAGAATTGATGAGAAAACAGTGTGGTCAGTCTTGACTGCAGAATGCAGAGTACACTTGAATTTTTATAGGTGAAGATCTATTTTCACCTGTCTCAGTCACAGCCAATTCATGATCTCATTTCTTGGTGATGCAACCTCACATCCTGCAGCATTACTTGTTCTGCAGTACAGCAAATTGTGCTCATAAATCCTGGGCGCCACAGGAACAGTTTTACCAACCTGTAAATGCTGGAAACTTTGATTTCTCTTTTTTTTTAAACATGTTTTTAGGATTTTCAACTCTGACCTTCTTAAAAGTGCCATTAAATCCTATTTTACCCTCTATTCTACTCAAATTCTATTATACTCAAATTCAGTATTCTACACTGAATTTGACTAGAGTTATGTTTAATTTGTATATTCAGATTGTCAGTCAAGTCAAATTTCAATGTAGTTTCTTCTTCCAGCAAAAAAATTGTGAAATGGTGATTGTCATTTTCACAGGTGATCTGTCTGAATGTCAAGCCAGCCACCTTGGCTCATGACCACACATAGGCTTGAGTTTACACATTGTGAAAAGCATGTGTCTTAACAAAAATAGGCATATCACTTCAGCGAGGCCTTGGGGTTTCCTAAAACAGTGAATGAAAAAACTCAGGGAAGCATAATCTTCCTGTCTTTCTTTTATCTGCTTAAGTGCTGGAAATAATGGAGTGACAGCATTTTCACTTTTCTTGTGTTTCTCAGCAACTTGCATAATGAGAAAGATGATGTGGTCTAGTTGTTTTTTAACCCATTTTTTGGAATGCCTTTTATATTGAACTGTATATTCACTGAACAAGAGAGGCATGTATATCTAAGTGACAAAAATCTACCATTACATTTGAAATATTTCTGTAGGCAAATTTAGATGGGAAGGGAAAGAAAATGCTGGGAAAACTTAGACAATGGCAAAGACATGGTGAGAGATGTATTGTGTCACCGAGTGCAGTTCTGATAGGCCAGAGATTTAAATCATTCTAATGCAGCAGCCCTGCTCTTGTAGTGCTGTGAATGCTGAATTCTTCACAGATGCTTTAAGTTGCTTCTGCTGGTCATAACCTTGGCTGTGTGGTAATATGAGCTAGAGGCTGAGTGTGCATTGCAGGTCCCTGTCTCTGCTGCTGTCCGTGGACAGGCTGGAGTTCGAGTGATGAGTGGTGTGATAGCTGGATGCCATCTGACAGAGTCCTCAGGCAATGAGATGAGCCATTGTCCTGCTGCCAGAGTAAAACCAGTGTAGACAGTTGCATCTGCTCACCTGGTGACCAGTGTTGAGCAACATGGGGAAAGAAAGGATTAAACTCTCTTTTAAAGAGTGGACAAGACTTTGTGATTTTTGCAGCAATGAGGAGAGAGAGCTGCTTAGGGTAGATTTGTTCTCTGCTGCTGCTTTCCTGCTAAACAGTTTTCCCTGGAGGTAGTGGAGGTTACCCTGCAGACTAGGGTAGCTCTCCCAAAATTTCTGAAGTTGGAGGCAAAATTATCATAGTGTCTAGATGATGTATTACAAGCACAAGGGATGTGTAATAGGGTCCTTGTGCACTCACAAGCATTTCCTGGGCCTTGGACCAGCTGGATCAGTTACACATTCCTTTCTCAGATTTCTGTCCCCTTCCACACCTCACATCCTCACACAGGACCTACCCTGGGTGTTCCAAAGTGTTGCTGAA